CAATTTCAAGGCATTTAGAAGAGGAAGTGATGAGAAGATAAATTAATTTTCTATTTAAACATAAAAACAGCATTTTAATAATAACTAACGGTGACATAGATACTTTATTATGGTATATGTTTGCCTGAGAAACACATAATATTGGCTCTTCAATTATTGGAAGGGTTTGTGTAAAAGCTAGAGCGTGTATGTACAGTTTTGACCCTGTGTGGATTACAGAAAATCCACAATTATTTCTTGCATCAGTTTCAAACATCATTGGAGTTGTGTGATTCATTCCACCCAGAAAAAGAAAYGTTCCAAACGATCTTTTTAAACTCATGAAACATCATGAGTTCATGTAAAGGTCCGACTGCAGCTCTGCTTATCTTACTCACGTCACGTGGCTGTTTGGTGTGTGTCAGGTCCAGAATGTGAGTCAGTCTCTGGAGGTGGTGGACCTGAGGACATCCAGAGACCTGCAGTACGTTCGAGACTCTGAGCCCCTGCTGAGACGGGTGGATGGACGTTTACACACTTACGTGGAAAATCCTCGCACTCTAACAACCAAGGGCCTCCAGGTAGAAACAATACAAATTAAAAAATACACACAAATACTACATACACAAACGGAATAAGCACAATGTCAGGATCTCAGACACAAACACAAAGTAATGCTGTCGCTGCAGGGAATATGTAACCTTTGGTGTGAAAACATTGATTTCACGCATGCCAAGCTGAAGTTTCCTGGTTGTGCTCAGATCTGTGTGCATCTTTCACCAAGGAGACACAATTAGCCTTGAAGCTGTCAATCTCCCTATGTGCATGTCCACGGTGTAAAAGTGTCACAGAGCATTGTTGTGAGGCCGCCWGTGAAACTGCTGCATCTCTGCACACATTAAGGCTTCAAGCTGCCATGATACATGTGCCTGGAGAGAGGCTCAAATATACAGAATATTAAAGCAATTTACATATTTTGACACACAAAAGCAGCGAGCGTCTATAAAGGAATTTCAGCTTTCGGATTTCTGGGGATTTAAATTTCCCCCAGAAAAGTTATTCATTGACTCCCCCAGATACCATCATTGATAGAAATCTAAACACATTTCACTTCTTAATTTAGGAATGCTAATCCTTTTAGTCACGCTGCTTTTTTGCCATGGTGTCACTGGCTGGCATCTGTGCAAACAAAACAACAGGGGGCTGGAAGAGGATTATTACTGAAGAATGAGAGTCTGTGAGTCTGACTAATGAGAGCTGGATGATCTAAAAATGGAAATTAGCCACAAAACCGATGCTTTAATGTCTGCTATTTTCGGCTTGAACTGCCAATGAAACTAAACCATTGGGTAGGAAAGCCTTGTATCATCAAACAAAATTACTTGCAAAGACTGATCTGATTTGCATTTCAAGGCAAAAGAATGTATTGGGGACTCAATTTAAATGAGGTCATTTTGATTTCTGGTATGTGGCTTATTAAGGATTATTTAGTTTGTCAAGTAGAGACATGCATTGTTGAATTATATGAAAACTTATCAATATATATACTGTATATATA